TAGAATGGAATAAAATAGAAAGCATAGAACCGTCTTCCAAAATTCAAATAGAATACATGTGAATTCAACCAGAATAGAAAGAATAAAACAGAAAGCATATAACCGTCTTTCGAAATTTGAATAGAAATAATTGGAACAGAATAGGAAATAGAATAGAAAAAAATAAAATAGAATAAAACAGAAAAAATATAATCGTCTTCCGAAATTCGAATTTCAAATTTGAATAAATTTGAATTTGTAATAATATGGAAAATAGAATAGAAAAGAATAAAGCAGAATAGAGCAGAATAAAACAGAAAATATAACCGTCTTCCAAAATTCGAAACCCCCCCCCAATAGAATATAAAGAATAAAGTAGAATAGAATAAAACAGAAAGAATATAACCGTCTTCCAAAATTCGAAACCCCCCCCCCCCAATAGAATAGAAAGAATAAAGTAGAATAGAATAGAATAAAACAGAAAATATAACCGTCTTCCAAAATTCGAATAGAACAAATTTGAATAGAATAGAAAGTAATAAAACAAAATATAACCGTCTTCCATTCATCTGATGTTGGATGAATAATAAAGAGCCGAAAAGATGTATGACAGATGAAAAAAACAGCGCTTTATTATCCATCCAACATCAAGACTCCGCCCCATCCATAGACGCACCACAATCCCACCCCACACACTCCAACGGGTGTATCTGCCGATCAGATCACCATCGGGACTTTTGTTCTTCTCCTACCCAAGGGAAAGGGTCTGAAAAGAGCCTCCGGTGATCCGATCGGCAGAGGCTCCTGTTGGAGTGTGGGGTGGGATTGTGGTGCGTCTACGGATGGGGCGGAGTCTTGATGACAAAACAAAGCTTTATTTCACCGAAAAGGCGCGTTTTGTGGCTCACAGCCGCCACTTCCTCAGTAGTGAGCTATGAAACTCGTCTTTTCGGTGAAATAAAGTTCTTTATTGTTCATCCAACAACATGACTTTGATCCATCCATAGACGCACCACAATCCCACCCCACGCTCAACAGGTTCCTCTGCCGATCGGATCACCGGAGGGTCTCCTCAGACCCTTTTCCTTGGGTTGGAGAAGGACAGAAGACCCTCTGGTGATCCGATCGGCAGAGGAACCATTTGGAGTGTGGGGTGGGATTGTGGTGCGTCCATGGATGGGGCGGAGTCTTCGTGGCTCACAACTGAGGAAGTGGCGGCTTTGAACCACAGACCCTTTTCCTTGGGTTGGAGAAGGACAGAAGACCCTCTGGTGATCCGATCGGCAGAGGAACCATTTGGAGTGTGGGGTGGGACTGTGGTGCGTCCATGGATGGGGCGGAGTCTTCGTGGCTCACAACTGAGGAAGTGGCGGCTTTGAACCACAGACCCTTTTCCTTGGGTTGGAGGACAGAAGACCCTCTGGTGATCCGATCGGCAGAGGAACCATTTGGAGTGTGGGGTGGGATTGTGGTGCGTCCATGGATGGGGCGGAGTCTTCGTGGCTCACAACTGAGGAAGTGGCGGCTTTGAACCACAGACCCTTTCCTTGGGTTGGAGAAGGACAGAAGACCCTCTGGTGATCCGATCGGCAGAGGAACCATTTGGAGTGTGGGGTGGGACTGTGGTGCGTCCATGGATGGGGCGGAGTCATGATGTTAGATGAATAATAAAGAGCTTTATTTCACCGAAAAGACTCATGAAAGATGAAAAAAAAAGCGCTTTATTATTCATCGAACATCAAGACTCCAACCCATCCGTAGGCACGTCACAATCTCACCCGACACCATTTGGAGTGTGGGGTGGGATTGTGGTGCGTCTATGGATGGGGCGGAGTCTTCGTGGCTCACAACTGAGGAAGTAGCAGCTTTTGAGCCACAAAACGCGTCTTTTCGGCGTAATAAAGCTCTTTATCATTCATCCAACACCATGACTTTGACTCCTCTATAGACGCACCACAATCCCACCGCAACAGGTGCCTCTGCCGATCGAATCGCTGCCGGGTCTGTTGTCCTCCTCCTGTCCAAGGAAAGGGGTCTGAATTGGCCTCCGTGAGAATCAGCTGAGTGAATAAAAAGGAAAATAGTTTCAGTTCCACTTCCTTTTTTTAAAAATAATCTTTGCTGAACAAATTCCTGTGAGGGAAATAAATGTGAAGGAAAACTGTTCACTGAAACGGAACCAAAACTACTATATAGAGGGAGAGAGAAGGAGAGAGGAGCGAGAGGGGGTGGGGGGGGGGGGGGGGGGAGAGAGAGGAGAGAGGGGGGGGAGAGAGAGGAGCGAGAGGGAGAGAGAGGAGCGAGAGGGAGAGAGGAGAGTGAGGGAGAGAGAGAGAGTGAGGGAGAGAGAGGAGCGAGAGGGAGAGAGAGGAGAGAGAGGGAGAGGGGAGAGAGAGGAGCGAGAGGGAGAGAGGAGAGTGAGGGAGAGAGGAGAGTGAGGGAGAGAGAGAGAGAGAGGGGGGGAGGGAGAGAGAGGGCGAGAGGGGAGAGAGAGAGAGGGGGGAGGAAGGGAGAGGGGGGAGGGAGAGAGAGAGGGGGGAGGGAGAGAGAGAGGAGCGAGAGGGAGAGGTGGCCACTGCCCAGCCTAACAAGGGGTACAAGCTATATAACGTATGTGCACAAAATACATAAATAGCCCCCCCCCACAGGACTTGGCAAGAGAACATTCAAAAGTGTTCCCGCTGAAACATGGATTTGGATAAATTGTTGATGTGCTACATTCCCTGGAGTAAGGAATAGGTAGGGGGCGCTGTGCTCCCTGGGGTCAGGAATAGGTAGGGGACGCTATGCTCCCTGGGGTCAGGAATAGGTAGGGGGCGCTGTGCTCCCTGGGGTCAGGAATAGGTAGGGGACGCTATGCTCCCTGGGGTCAGGAATAGGTAGGGGGCGCTGTGCTCCCTGGGGTCAGGAATAGGTAGGGGGCGCTGTGCTCCCTGGGGTAGGGAATAGGTAGGGGGTGCTGTGCTACCTGGGGTGGGGAATAGGTAGGGGGCGCTGTGCTCCCTGGGGTGGGGAATAGGTAGGGGGCGCTGTGCTCCCTGGGGTCAGGAATAGGTAGGGGGCGCTATGCTCCCTGGGGTCAGGGATAGGTAGGGGGTGCTGTGCTCCCAGGGGTCAGGAATAGGTAGGGGGCGCTGTGCTCCTGGGGTAGGGAATAGGTAGGGGGCGCTGTGCTCCCTGGGGTAGGGAATAGGTAGGGGGCGCTGTGCTCCCTGGGGTAGGGAATAGGTAGGGGTGCTGTGCTACCTGGGGTGGGGAATAGGTAGGGGGCGCTGTGCTCCCTGGGGTGGGGAATAGGTAGGGGGCACTGTGCTCCCTGGGGTGGGGAATAGGTAGGGGGCGCTGTGCTCCCTGGGGTGGGGAATAGGTAGGGGGCGCTGTGCTCCCTGGGGTGGGGAATAGGTAGGGGGCGCTGTGCTCCTGGGGTCAGGAATAGGTAGGGGGCGCTGTGCTCCCTGGGGTGGGGAATAGGTAGGGGGCGCTGTGCTCCCTGGGGTGGGGAATAGGTAGGGGGCGCTGTGCTCCCTGGGGTCAGGAATAGGTAGGGGTCGCTGTGCTCCCTGGGGTGGGGAATAGGTAGGGGGCGCTGTGCTCCCTGGGGTGGGGAATAGGTAGGGGGCGCTGTGCTCCCTGGGGTGGGGAATAGGTAGGGGTCGCTGTGCTCCCTGGGGTGGGGAATAGGTAGGGGTCGCTGTGCTCCCTGGGGTGGGGAATAGGTAGGGGGCGCTGTGCTCCCTGGGGTGGGGAATAGGTAGGGGGCGCTGTGCTCCCTGGGGTGGGGAATAGGTAGGGGGCGCTGTGCTCCCTGGGGTGGGGAATAGGTAGGGGGCGCTATGCTCCCTGGGGTGAGTGGTGTGTATATTTGTGCTATTTACAAAGGTGGTGTACAGAGCTCTCCATGTCCTGGAATTGGGACACAAACCGTCCTGACATGCAGAATGAACAAGCCTAGTGCTGGTCGGCCACAAAAATGCAACTTCCAATATTCACAAACCCTGGACTCGGCCTCCCTGCTCCCCGGGCTACGGAGCGCACTGAGCATGTGCGGTGTGTGGGAACTCACCTGGCTGCCAGGGACAAGTACATTCCTGGGTGGATCAGAGGCTCCAGGATGTAAATAAAGAAGCCTGGGAGATGTATAAACCCCGGACTGGACTTGTCTGGGCTCTGTGACATATTGTGAGCGTATGTGTGAGATATATATATATACTATATTGCCACAAGTATTGGTCGGCTGACCTTTCCCCACACACATGACCTTCAATGGTCCCCCAGTCTTAGTCCGTAGGGTTCAATATTAAGTTGGCCCCGCCCTTTCCACACACATGACCTTTAATGGCCCCCCAGTCTTAGTCCGTAGGGTTCAATATTGAGTTGGCCCCGCCCTTTCCACACACATGACCTTTAATGGCCCCCCAGTCTTAGTCCGTAGGGTTCAATATTGAGTTGGCCCCGCCCTTTGCAGCTATAACAGCTTCAACTCTTCTGGGAAGGCCGTCCACAAGGTTTAGGAGGGTGTCTATGGGAAGGTTGGACCATTCTTCCAGAAGCACATTTGTCAGGTCAGGCACTGATGTCGGGGGGAGGGGGCCTGGCTCGCAGTCTCCGCTTTAATTCATCCCAAAGGTGTTCTATGGGGTTGAGGTCAGGACTCTGTGCAGGACAGTCAAGTTCCTCCACCCCAAACTGGCTCCTCCATGTCTTTATGGACCTTGCTTTGTGTACTGGTGGACAGTCATGTTGGAACAGGAAGGGGCCATCCCCAAACTCCTCCCACAAAGTTGGGGGCATGAAAATGTCCAAAATGTCGCCTTAAGAGTTCCCTTCACTGGAACTAGGGGGCCAAGCCCAACCCCTGAAAACAACCCCACACCATAATCCCCCTCCACCAAACTTTACACTTGGCACAATGCAGTCAGGCAAGTACCATTCTCCTGGCAACCGCCAAACCCAGACACGTCCATCGGATTGCCAGACAGAGAAGTGTGATTGGTCACTCCAGAGAACATGTCTCCTCTGCTCTAGAGTCCAGTGGCGGCATGCTTTACACCACGGCCTCCGACGCTTTGCATTGCACTTGGTGATGGAAGGCTTGGATGCAGCTGCTCGGCCATGGAAACCCATTTCCATGAAGCTCTTTACGCACTGTTGTTGGGCTCATCTGAAGGCCACATCAAGTTTGGAGGTCTTTAGCTATTGACTCTGCAGACAGTTGGTGACTTCTGCGCACTGTGTGCTTCAGCATGCGCTGACCCCGCCCTGTCATGTGACGTGGCCTACCACTTGGTGGCTGAGTGGCTGTTGTTCCCAGTTGCTTCCACTTTGTTATAATCCCACTAACAGTTGAGCGTGGAATATTTAGTAGCCAGGAAATGTCATGGATGGACTTATTGCCCAGGTGGCCACCTATCACGGGACCACGCTTGGAGTCACTGAGCTCCTGAGAGCGACCCATTCTTTCACCAATGTTTGTAGAAGCAGTCTGCATGCCTAGGGGATGGATTGTATACACCTGTATCCATGGAGGGGATTGGAACACCTGAATCACATGATATGGAGGGGATTGGAACACCTGAATCACATGATATGGAGGGGATTGGAACACCTGAATCACATGATATGGAGGGGATTGGAACACCTGAATCACATGATATGGAGGGGATTGGAACACCTGAATCACATGATTGGGAGGGGATTGGAACACCTGAATCCAATGATTGGGAGGGGATTGGAACACCTGAATCACATGGTATGGAGGGGATTGGAACACCTGAATCACATGATATGGAGGGGATTGGAACACCTGAATCCAATGATTGGGAGGGCGGGGCCACTACTTTGGGCAATATAAAGTATATATTATATATACAGTATAGTACACTCACACTTGCGTATCTCTTGTAGGGTTACTGTATCACCCCCTCCCCGTCCTGGCGGTGTCACTCCATAGCTGTGTGGTGAGGTGGAGGGGGGTGATGAATGCTCCGGGGATGACACCATGTCTGCCTCTCCATGAAGGAGGGTTGGAGAACTCCATAATGATATTCGGCTGTAGCCTGGGGTCATGCGCACTGCGCGCCGCACACAGAGAGCGCCATACCGCCGGCCATCCTGATCCCACCTTACCGGCTGAAATAGGCTTCAAGTGGAATTCTAAACATATCTGAGGATTGTATTAACTGCCAAAAGGGTTTGTAATTCTGTTTGGCTTGTCTTGTGATTCACACTCTCCTGCCAAACAGGACAATCACTCCACTATTGGTTCAGCTTGACTGGATTGTCTGCCCATTGGTGTAGAGCTGGTGATGCTGATTTCTTGTCCAATGAGCTGGCAGAAGGTGGAGTGGTGACACAGGAAGCAGGGAGCAAGCGTGTCCCCTGCCTGGCTAGGCCGGTGTGTAAAATCGAAGGACTGGCTGAACAGGATTTTTTTTTAAAAATTAAAAATTTAGTATATGTATTATGTGTATTTAGCTGCTAACTTGGAGTTTAGTTTCACTTTTTTTATAAAAAAAGTGACTTTATATATAAAAATATTATTTTTATTTATATGAAAAGTGTAAAAGTGACAATTTACATTTAGAAACCATCCGAAAATCTGTACAGAGATGCAGCGCGATCCAACGGCTGTGTCAGCCGCCATTGTAGGCGGACGAGTGTTGCTGCGGTTATATAACGTGTTGTGAAGGTATACGCGGGCGTCGCTCATTTTATTGGCCCCATAAAGACATATTTGGGTGATGCAGCAGTGCAGTAAAGGGAGGCGGGCAGTTCGGAAGTTTCTATAAATTGCTTTTATTTATGTGACATTATTCTTAATATACAGGATTAAAATATTAATAAATATTATTGTTATATTATTATTTTTTTTTTATTATTATTATTATTATTTGTAGTATTGTTGTTGTTGTTATGATTACTATACAGGATCAATTTAACTTTTAATATTATTATTTTAATTTTTTTTTTATTATTATTATTATATTATTTTTATTTTTATTATTTTTATTAGTAGTAGTAGTATTATTGTTGTTGTTATGATTACTATACAGGATCAATTTAACTATTATTATATTATTATTCTGTTACATTTTATGGGCAACAATAACCCAAAACTGTGTATATTATTTAGTCTGTGTGAAAGTTATAGTCTACAATTAATGAGATATATATCTGAAAATTGAGCAGTTGAGACCCTAAAATGCACTGGTGTGGGGTTTATATGGCGGTGATCAGGACTCTGGTATGAGGTATGGGGGTGATCAGGATGCTGGTATGGGGTATGGGGGGTGATCAGGACTCTGGTATGAGGTATGGGGGTGATCAGGATGCTGGTATGGGGTATGGGGGTGATCAGGACCCTGGTATGAGGTATGGGGGTGATCAGGACGCTGGTATGAGGTATGGAGGTGATCAGGGCGCTGGTATGGGGTATGGGGGTGATCAGGACGCTGGTATGGGGTATGGGGGTGATCAGGACGCTGGTATGGGGTATGGGGGTGATCAGGGCGCTGGTATGGGGTATGGGGGTGATCAGGATGCTGGTATGGGGTATGGCGGTGATCAGGACGCTGGTATGAGGTATGGAGGTGATCAGGGCGCTGGTATGGGGTATGGGGGTGATCAGGACGCTGGTATGGGGTATGGGGGTGATCAGGACGCTGGTATGGGGTATGGGGGTGATCAGGGCGCTGGTATGGGGTATGGGGGTGATCAGGGCGCTGGTATGGGGTATGGTGGTGATCAGGACGCTGGTATGAGGTATGGGGGTGATCAGGACGCTGGTATGGGGTATGGGGGTGATCAGGACTCTGGTATGAGGTATGGGGGTGATTAGGACTCTGGTATGAGGTATGGGGGTGATCAGGACGCTGGTATGAGGTATGGCGGTGAATCAGGACTCTGGTATGAGGTATGGGGGTGATCAGGACTCTGGTATGAGGTATGGAGGTGATCAGGGCGCTGGTATGGGGTATGGGGGTGATCAGGACGCTGGTATGGGGTATGGGGGTGATCAGGACGCTGGTATGGGGTATGGGGGTGATCAGGGCGCTGGTATGGGGTATGGGGGTGATCAGGGCGCTGGTATGGGGTATGGCGGTGATCAGGACGCTGGTATGAGGTATGGGGGTGATCAGGACGCTGGTATGGGGTATGGGGGTGATCAGGACGCTGGTATGAGGTATGGGGGTGATCAGGACGCTGGTATGGGGTATGGGGGTGATCAGGATTCTGGTATGGGGTATGGGGGGTGATCAGGACGCTGGTATGAGGTATGGGGGTGATCAGGACGCTGGTATGAGGTATGGGGGTGATCAGGATGCTGGTATGGGGTATGGAGGTGATCAGGGTGCCGGTATGGCGGTGATCAGGGCGCCGGTATGGCGGTGATCAGGGCGCTGGTATGGGGTATGGCGGTGATCAGGACGCTGGTATGGGGTATGGCGGTGATCAGGGCGCCGGTATGGCGGTGATCAGGGCGCCGGTATGGCGGTGATCAGGGCGCCGGTGTGGGCGGTGATCAGGGCGCCAGTATGGCGGTGATCAGGGCGCCGGGTTTTGGCAGTGATCAGGGCGCCGGTTATGGCGGTGATCAGGCTCTGAGTCGGCGATGGTCGGACAGGAAGCAGTTAAATGAAATAAAAATCCAAAAAGATTTATAAAATACAAGACTCCGGGGCTGATGTACTGAAGACAGACGGACGGCGCACTCTGCAAGTCCCCGGAGTTCAGTAAATGAGGGGAAGTTCTGCTGACTGAAATGCTGTTTTTTAAGAAGGAGTATTTCCCTGGCGTGTGATTGGTGGATATTATTTGGACGGTGAATCTCGCCGCATTCACTGAGCTGTGGAGTAACTGCCCTTGCAGAGTGCGGAGTCTATTTGCCGTCAGTAATGCCCCCTCCCCCCCCCCATCGCGGTTGCGGCACGTTTGCATGTGGTGTCTTCCTCACATGGCCGCATTATGTTCCCTCACCAGCCGCTCCCAGTAAACGGCCGGCGTGGGGAATTTGGCGGTTCATTCCAGAGATGTGCGAGGAGCGACACACCCGACGGTGCGACACACCCGACGCACGGCGCGGCTACCGCCCAACCAGCACACAGGGGAGCCCATCCTGGGAAATATCAGCGCCTGGCTGGCCCTGGAGTCTGATCTTTCTGAGTCACTGACCTGCAGCAAGCAGGTGGCCAGTGAAGGCAGAGTAACATCGGGACATCAGAGCAGCATACCAGGTTCCAGTCGCAGGCTGGTGACCCCACATATATATTAGGGACCAATTACAGTTAAAGCAGAACTGAAGCCGCATGTGCAGCTCCGTATGCATCCTGGCACTGTCCCTGTGCTCTGGGACGAGGAACCCCCGCGCATGGAGCTACAGCATCCCACTGGCCAATCAGGATGGCTGAAGACCGCTCGTGGAAGAAGCCAGAGACGATGCCGGCGAGGGGCCTCATAGGGTGTCGGACCGTTGGAGTTAAAGCCCATTCACACTTGTGGGGTCCAAAGTCGCATGACAAGTCGCACCCCATGTTTCCCAATGAGTGCCATTCATATATGCGTGACTTCGAGTCGCAGCGACTTGATCTCCTGCACTACTCTGGTCAGACTTCCATGCGACTCGAGGGCCCTCCAAAGTCGCAGCTGAATGTTATACGTGCGACTTTTGTACAGCACAAACCATCCTTGGTCAAGGCCAAAGTCGCATCAAAGTCGCCTTAAAAAAAAAAATCGCACGGTTTTAGTCACAAGTGTGAATGGAGTCGTTGAGTTTATTGCCGCTTTAAGAGATCATTGGTGGTGTGGGAACACACGCGTGCTAATGCGCTGTACGCCGCATGTGACGTTTTCTCGCGCTAAGGCTGGTCATTCGTTATGTATTGGCTGCCATTTCTTGTGTGACTTTTTTCTGCGGTTTCTTGCGATTTCACATACACAGAATATCACAGAAATCGCAATAAAGTCTTCAGAAGTCGCACACAAATGGCAGCGCTGTGACTGAACTGATCATGGATACGTTGTACTCGCGGAATGTTACTTTGTAGCGACATTGTAATGGTCATTTCATGCTTTTCATCCCCTTTTTCTGTCTTTGCTCAAATCTTCCGACATTCAGGGAGTCTCCGGGATTAGAGTCTTCCTGGTGTTGCTGGGAGTTGTAGTCCCCCTGGTGTTGAGGAGCCCCCCCCCATGTGGTATGGTTGGGGGATATTTTATTGCTGTAACCAGATCGCAGGCGTGTGACTCTCCGCTCATACTGACTTCTGCTCTTTAAAAACAGCCCCCCCCCACCCCCTGGAATCCCCCCCCCCGGAATCCCCCCCCAGCAAACCGCATCGCCATATTATGAGTCACATCTCCTGCTATACATTGACCAACACTTCCCCAGACTTGCACAACCCCGCACTGGGTGTCGCTCGGCAGTTGTGGCCCCCGGGGGGACGTAGGAGGGCCCTCGTATACAATGCAACTTGCTGAAATTTCATAAACAAGGAGGAATGTTCTGGGGAAGTTCGGCCATTTTGGCAAAACGCTGTTGATCGATGTGGAACGGGAAGTTTGGGGTGTTTTTCATTATCGTAGGCCTGTTCTTGTGCCAAAAATGGGCCCTCATTAGATAGTGAGGAACCCTAACACTAATCCTAACCCTAACACCAACCCCAACACTGACCCCAATACTGAAACTAACCCTAACACCAACCCAACCCAACACTAACCATGATACTGAAACTAACCTTAACACTGACCCCAATACTGAAACTAACCCTCGGGCGGACTCACAGCTCATGCTGCCCCCGGGCAATTGGGGATCATGGGGCCCCTGTGTCCTTGCCCACACTAAATGCACACACAAAAAAGCCTATAAAAAGGTACCAGAGGCATTTCATGGGGACCCCTACTGACCCTGGGGCCCTCAGGCAGTGCCCGAGTGCTCGAATGGTCAGTCCGTCCCTGCTAACCCTAACACCAACCCAACACTAACCCTAATACTGAAACTAACCCTAACACCAACCCAACACTAACCCTGACACCAAACCAACCCAATATTAACCCTAACACTGACCCTAATACTAACCCTAACACTGACCCTAATACTAACACTAACCCTAACACTGACCCTAATACTGACACTAACCCTAACACTGACCCTAATACTAACCCTAACACTGACCCTAATACTGACACTAACCCTAACACTGACCCTAATACTGACACTAACCCTAACACTGACCCTAATACTAACACTAACCCTAATACTGACACTAACCCTAACACTGACCCTAATACTGACACTAACCCTAACACTGACCCTAATACTAACACTAACCCTAACACTGACCCTAATACTGACACTAACCCTAACACTGACCCTAATACTGACACTGACCCTAATACTGACACTAACCCTAACACTGACCCTAATACTGACACTAACCCTAACACTGACCCTAATACTGACACTAACCCTAACACTGACCCTAATACTGACCCAACCCTAAAACTGACACTAACACTGACCCAACCCAACACAAACCCTAATACTGAAACTAATCCTAACACTGACCCCAATACTGGAACTAACCCTAACACTAACCCAACACTAACCCTAAAACTGACACTAACACTGACACAACCCAACACTAACCCTAATGCTGAAACTAACCCTAACACTAACTGAACCCTAACACTTCTGTCCCTCCAGTGGAGCGCCTATCATTCCGCTTATGTAAAAAGCGGCTCCACAGGAATTTCTACTTCCAGAGACTTATCAGAACTGAAGACATTTACAGAGGAAGTGTCCCGGGGAGGAGAAATATGAGTGCACCGGAGCCCTCCCCCCCCCCCCCGGCTATAACTCCATCCATCACAAATCATATTTTCTTTGTAATTCTACATAGAAAGTTCTGGAAGTTCCTGCCGCCTGTCACATAAAACATCTTCCTTTGGGGGGGATGTAATCGCCCCTCACAGATTGTCAGCTCCTGTGACAAGGGCTCCTCTTTCGGTCTGCCGCGACGTTCGGTCTTGACATATTTCTCTGGCTATAAAATAGCGCCCCTCCCGCCTCTGTCATGTTTCCGCGCTAAAAATATCGGCCTTCCCCGGCCACTTCGTGGATACGAGGTGTTTATTGTTTACATGTCATTGCGGGGCGGGGATAACGCGGGAATCACAGGTGTCACTAACCTGAGTGCCTGAAATAAATTCTGTCTGTGTTGCTCACGGGAACCAGTTTGGTCGCATCTGTAATGCAGGTCACATAAGAAGAGGGAAGTCCTGATCCGGGACAACACCCACAAACAATGCAAGAAATATCTCACGAGTTACAGATCCGCCCCACACACAATCCAATGTCCCGTCTTTGTAATGTCCGCTAAAGAGTTTCCCAATACGGAATTAAATATGGCGTTCCACGGCATCACCGCTCTTACCGCAAAGAACCCTTTACTGCCGTCATAATTGTCTTTTATCGATATGCAACACACACCCCCTTGGCCTCACTACGGTATTATATTTGGAGTTCTACAGCATCACCGCTCTTACCGCAAAGAACCCTTCACTGCCGGCATAATTGTCTTATCCATATGCCCCCTTGGTCTCACTACAGTATTATATTTTGAGTTCCACGGAATTACTGCTCTTACCGCAAAGAACCCTTTACTACCGGCCAGGAGTGGACTGACAACTCATGGGGCCCCCGGGCAATATGGGATCATGGGGGGGCCCCTGTGTCCTCGCCCACACCAAAAAAGCCTATGAAGAAGCCAATGAAAGGTACCAGGGGCATCTCATGGGGGCCCCCTACTGACCACGGGCCCTCATGAGTCAGTGTGTGAATGGTCAGTCCGCCCCTGCTACCGACATAATTCTGTTCAGGGGCGGACTGACAACTCATGGGGCCCCCGGGCAATAGGGGATCATGGGGCCCCTGTGTCCTTGCCCAAACTCAAAAAAAGCCTATGAAAAAGGTACCAGGGGGGCATCTCATGGGGCCACCTACTGACCCCGGGCCCTCGGGCAGTGCCCGAGTTTCCAAATGCTCAGTCCACCCCTAATTCTGTTTTATCCATATGCAACACCCCCCCCCCCCCTTGGCCTCACTATGGTAAAAATATGGCGTTCCACGGCATCACCGCTCTCTTACCGCAAAGAACCCTTCGCTGCCGGCATAATTGTCATTTATCCATATGCGACACCCCCCCCCCCCCCTTGGCCTCATAGTTCTGCTTTCCATTAGAATTCCTGACCTCCATGTCGGCCAATTAGAGCTGGCGAGGTGTGTACGACCTCCACCTCGATTTCCGGTGCGACTTTCATGCGACTCGACGCAACCTTAGAGTCTATGGCACTCAAGTCACATTAAAGTCGCATCAAAGTACGGCAAGACCCTTCATAACAGCTGCTGCGACTCGAGTCCCATCGGTTGGAACGGCCGCCATTGAAATGAATGGGTTTTCACGTGGCATGCGATTCTGTGCGGATTATTTACTAAAGGTGTAGAGTCCAGAATCCGATGCAACTCTGCAGAGAAACCAATCCGCTTCCAGGTTTTATATGTAATTAGATGTGGATTGGCTGCCATGAAGAGCTGCACCAGATTCCGAGTCAAGGACGGACCGACCATTTGAGCACTCGGGCACTGCCTGAGGGCCCGGGGTCAGTAGGGGCCCCATTAAATGCCTCTGGTACCTTTTTATAGGCTTTTTTGGGTGTGCTTTGAGTTTGGGCAAGGACACAGGGGCCCCATGATCCCCAATTGCCCAGGGGCCCCATGAGTTGTCAGTCCGCCCCTGTTCAATGTGCTCCAGTTTTAGTAAATAGCAAGTCGCATGCCAAGTCGCAGCAATGTGAACCGGGAAAGAAATGGAAGTCAATATCAAAAAGTGAAAAAAAAAAAAGGAAAAAGATTGAAACTCAACTCTGGGTGCAATCTTTGTAAAACCATCTTTGGATGAACTGCAAATGTAAGACGAGGAGAAACACGAACAAATCGATCAATCTGCAGCCAATCAGGGAGGCCCTTGCACTACATAGTTGTTGGTAGACCTGAAGGAGATGCAATCAGATCGCAGCTATTGCTGTGGGTAGCCATTGCAGAGGTCAGAGGCCCATTATACTCCATTGTGCCCCGAATCCACTATATCCGCTCTCCCCGGACCCCGCATTCACTATATCCGCTCTCCCCGGGCCCCGCATTCACTATATCCGCTCTCCCCGGACCCCGCATTCACTATATCCGCTCTCTCCGGGCCCCGCATTCACTATATCCCGCTCTCCCCGGGCCCCGCATTCACTATATCCGCTCTCTCCCCGGGCCCCGCATTCACTATATCCGCTCTCCCCGGGCCCCGCATTCACTATATCCGCTCTCCCCGGGCCCCGCATTCACTATATCCGCTCTCCCCGGACCCCGCATTCACTATATCCGCTCTCCCCGGACCCCGCATTCACTATATCCGCTCTCCCCGGACCCCGCATTCACTATATCCGCTCTCCCCGGACCCCGCATTCACTATATCCGCTCTCTCCCGGACCCCGCATTCACTGTATCCGCTCTCCCCGGACCCCACATCCACTATATCCGCTCTTCCCCGGACCCCGCATCCACTGTATCCGCTCTCCCCGGACCCCGCATTCACTATATTCGCTCACCCCCCCGGACCCCGCATTCAGTATATCCGCTCTCCCCGGACCCCGCATTCACTATCCGCTCTCCCCGGACCCCGCATTCACTATATCGGGTCTCCCCGGACCCCGCATTCACTATATTCGCTCTCCCCGGACCCCGCATTTACTATATCGGGTCTCCCCGGACCCCGCATTCACTATATCCGTTCTCCCCGGACCCCGCATTCACTATATCCGGTCTCCCCGGACCCCGCATTCACTATATCCGCTCTCCCCGGACCCCGCATTCACTATATCCACTCTCCCCGGACCCCGCATTCACTATATCCGCTCTCCCCGGACCCCGCATTCACTATATCCGCTCTCCCCGGACCCCGCATTCATTATATCGGGTCTCCCCGGAGCCTGCATTCACTATATCCGCTCACCCCGGACCCCGCATTCACTATATCCGCCCTCCCCGGACCCCGCATTCACTATATCGGGTCTCCCCGGACCCCGCATTCACTATATGCGCTCTCCCCGGACCCCGCATTCACTATATCCTCTCTCCCCGGACCCCGCATTCACTATATCCTCTCTCCCCGGACCCCGCATTCATTATATCGGGTCTCCCCGGACCCCGCATTCACTATATCGGGTCTCCCCCGGACCCCGCATTCACTATATCCGTTCTCCCGGACCCCGCATTCACTATATCCGCTCTCCCTGGACCCCGCATTCACTATATCCGCTCTCCCCGGACCCCACATTCATTATATCTGGTCTCCCCGGACCCCGCATTCACTATATCCTCTCTCCCCAGACCCCGCATTCACTATATCCGCTCTCCCCGGACCCCGCATTCACTATATCGGGTCTCCTCGGACCCCGCATTCACTATATCCGCTCTCCCCGGACCCCGCATTCACTATATCCGCTCTCCCCGGACCCCGCATTCACTATATCCGCTCTCCCCGGACCCCGCATTCACTATATCCGCTCTCCCCGGGCCCCGCATTCGCTATATCCGCTCTCCCCGGACCCCGCATTCACTATATCCGCTCTCCCCGGACCCCGCATTCACTATATCCGCTCTCCCCGGACCCAGCATTCACTATATCCGCTCTCCCCGGACCCCGCATTCACTATATCCTCTCTCCCCGGACCCCGCATTCACTATATCGGGTCTCCCCGGACCCCGCATTCACTATATCGGGTCTCCCCAGACCCCGCATTCACTATATCCGCTCTCCCCGGACCCCGCATTCACTATATCCACTCTCCCCGGACCCCACATTCACTATATCCGCTCTCCCCGGACCCCGCATTCACTATATGCGCTCTCCCCGGACCCCGCATTCACTATATCCGCTCTCCCCGGACCCCGCATTCACTATATCGGGTCTCCCCGGACCCCGCATTCACTATATCCGCTCTCCCCGGACCCCGCATTCACTATATGCGCTCTCCCCGGACCCCGCATTCACTATATCCGCTCTCCCCGGACCCCGCATTCACTATATCCGCTCTCCTTGGACCCCGCATTCACTATATCCGCTCTCCCCGGACCCCGCATTCACTATATCTGCTCTCCCCGGACCCCGCATTCACTATATGCGCTCTCCCCGGACCCCGCATTCACTATATCCGCTCTCCCCGGACCCCTTATTCACTATATCCGCTCTCCCCGGACCCCGCATTCACTATATCCGCTCTCCCCGGACCCCGCATTCACTATATCCGCTCTCCCGGACCCCGCATTCACTATATCCGCTCTCCCCGGACCCCGCATTCACTATATCCGTTCTCCCCGGACCCCCATTCACTATATCCGCTCTCCCCGGACCCCGCATTCGCTATATCCGCTCTCCCCGGCCCCGCATTCGCTATATCCGCTCTCCCCGGACCCCGCATTCACTATATCCGCTCTCCCCGGACCCCGCATTCACTATATCCGCTCTCCCCCGGACCCCGCATTCACTATATCCGCTCTCCCCGGACCCCACATTCACTATATCCTCTCTCCCCGGACCCCGCATTCACTATATCGGGTCTCCTCGGACCCCGCATTCATTATATCGGGTCTCCCCGGACCCCGCATTCACTGTATCCGCTCTCCCCAGACCCCGCATTCACTGTATCCGCTCTCCCGGACCCCGCATTCACTATATCCGCTCTCCCCCGGACCCTGCATTCACTATATCGGGTCTCCCCGGACCCCGCATTCACTATATCCGCTCTCCCCAGACCCCGCATTCACTATATCCGCTCTCCCCGGACCCCGCATTCACTATATCGGGTCTCCCTGGACCCCGCATTCACTATATGCGCTCTCCCCGGACCCCGCATTCACTATATCCGCTCTCCCCGGACCCCGCATTCATTATATCGGGTCTCCCCGGACCCCGCATTCACTATATCCGCTCTCCCCAGACCCCGCATTCACTATATCGGGTCTCCCCGGACCCCGCATTCACTATATCCGCTCTCCCCGGACCCCGCATTCACTATATCCGCTCTCCCCGGACCCCGCATTCACTATATCCGCCCTCCCCGCATTCACTATATCCGCTCTCCCGGACCCCGCATTCACTATACAATGTTACTTTGTATCTCTCTCTGTCTGATCAATGTTTATAAACAATTTTAGAGAGATACAATGTAGCATTATTTATAAACATTGTTCAGATGGGAGATAGAGAAATACAAAGAATCTCCTGTCTGAACAATGTTTATAAACAATGTTACTATGTATCTCTCCCACAACTAGTTAGTGAACAAGTAGACATCCCCCCCAGACGTCCCCATACACGGATCTAGCCTGAGAATGGACAAATGTTATAAAACTTGTCCAATCGTTATCCTCTGATCTGACACATACACCGGCGGATGCCTGAGCGCGTCTGGATTGTCCCCGCCAAGCGCTGATTTCTGGTGGCTCACGGACAGCCACAGACATAGGACACGCAGACATAGGACACGCAGACATAGGACACGCAGACATAGGACACGCAGACATAGGACACGCAGACGCGGTCTGTCCTCGCTGTCACATTTGCGCACTGGCCCAGTTCCATCAGATTAGCGGCCTGAGTCGATGGCCTAATCCTTATCCGTTGACCAGGGAGGGGGAGGGGAGTCACTGTTGTATAAGTGGAAATAAAATTGTTGTCGCTGACATTTGTATCCCCGGAAATTGTATATTATTACCTTCAGGAATTCAGCATATGCCCCGCCCCCCCCCCCCCCCCCCCCCCCCCCCCCCCCCCCCCCCCCCCCCCCCCCCCCCCCCCCCCCCCCTCCGCCCCCCCCAGATATAATTAAAAGCAGATTTAGGACCCCTGGACCATTTCCAGGAACTGCTGTGCAGCGCGCCAGAGTGCCACAACCAGGTTTGACCAGTTATGGTGAGCTGCCGTGTGACCAGACGTCCAGGGACACTCCCGGAACCTAGAAATCTGTCCCTGAAATATTCAGAACTGTCCGAGCAAAAGTCTATAAACTCATCATTCGCATGTGGAGGGTTTCCTGCAGAGTATTTCAGGAGAGGAGAGTTATAGAGGAAGGAGAGGAGTCCTCCAGCAGTGCAGAGTATTTCAGGAGAGGAGAGTTATAGAGGAAGGAGAGGAGTCCTCCAGCAGCGCAGAGTATTTCAGGAGAGGAGTTATAGAGGAAGGAGCGGAGTCCTCCAGCAGTGCAGAGTATTTCAGGAGAGGAGAGTTATAGAGGAAGGAGAGGAGTCCTCCAGCAGTGCAGAGTATTTCAGGAGAGGAGTTATAGAGGAAGGAGCGGAGTCCTCCAGCAGTGCAGAGTATTTCAGGAGAGGAGTTATAGAGGAAGGAGCGGAGTCCTCCAGCAGTGCAGAGTATTTCAGGAGAGGAGTTATAGAGGAAGGAGAGGAGTCCTCCAGCAGTGCAGAGTATTTCAGGAGAGGAGTTATAGAGGAAGGAGCGGAGTCCTCCAGCAGAGCAGAGTATTTCAGGAGAGGAGAGTTATAGAGGAAGGAGAGGAGTCCTCCGGCAGTGCAGAGTATTTCAGGAGAGGAGTTATAGGGGAAGGAGCGGAGTCCTCCAGCAGCGCAGAGTATTTCAGGAGAGGAGTTATAGAGGAAGGAGAGGAGTCCTCCAGCAGAGCAGAGTATTTCAGGAGAGGAGTTATAGAGGAAGGAGCGGAGTCCTCCAGCAGTGCAGAGTATTTCAGGATAGGAGAGTTATAGAGGAAGGAGAGGAGTCCTCCAGCAGCGCAGAGTATTTCAGGAGAGGAGTTATAGAGGAAGGAGAGGAGTCCTCCAGCAGTGCAGAGTATTTCAGGAGAGGAGTTATAGAGGAAGGAGAGGAGTCCTCCAGCAGTGCAGAGTATTTCAGGAGAGGAGTTATAGAGGAAGGAGAGGAGTCCTCCGGCAGTGCAGAGTATTTCAGTGTTTCAGCAGTAGCGTAGAGTACATTAAAGGAAATAGTTTTTTCCTGTTTTCTCCCATTATTGCTCTTTACCTCCCCCCCCCCCCACCCCCCCCCCCCCCCCGCCCCCCCCCCTTCTTGATAGACACACAATTGACAATAACTGCAGCTATAAAAACATCTCCTGCAATTTTCTACATAGCAACAGCGTGAGAGCGGATGAAGTCAAAGCAGCGGGGGATGGGGAGGGATGGGGGGGTGCTCTGAATATGAAGGACGCGATGCGCGGTCTGGTGCCATCCTTCTCTCCATACATTGTTGTCTCCTCTCTGTAGCGAGCTCACCCTGACCCCACATAATACACAACAAATCCTTCTATATCTACCGTCTATTTTATTCTCACAAGGACGCCGAATGTAGCGATCGGTTATGTAACATTAGAGGATCCAAAGATTTTTTTTTTTTTTTTATAGAATTTTTTTTTGTATCAGAACTAAATGATATAAAGAGCACCTGTCAGAGAATAGAGAGAACTGTTATTAAAGGTGTAAGCTTTTACCTTCCTATGTGTCAGGGCAAAAGAGAACAAAAGAAAACGCATACGCAGCACATCTCTGCAATACATGCGCATTCCCCCGCGTTTATCCCTTTAAACCCACATGGAAGAAAAATATATTTTAAATATATTTTTAAAACATTCTTCCCAAATATATTGACATGTATTTGAAATACTACAATTCTGGCCGCATTCAATATATTTCAATAAATTAAA